TAATAATTTCATCTTGCAGTAGAATCTCGAACAGGTTTTCTAAATTCTTCTTAGAATGAATTTTAATTAATTGTTATCCGTTATTTTTAGTTTTAGTTTGGTTTTTCAACTCAGAAAATTACACCGTACAGTATTTGCACATAATTTAAATGTGATGTATCCATAAAAATGAATCGCTAGATGTGGAACGTATTAGACGTTTCAAAGAAGACTATACCACAAAGAACAGTGACTAGTGGGCTATCAAAATACTGAAGGGTGAAGAAGACCGAATTGGCTCAGTGAGCTGAAATCACTAATATAAATGACAACGCAATCAATGTAATGTAATACAGTTATCAAGGGAGTGAGAGATTGATCACATAATTTTTCTAAGCTGACAAGTTCAATTGAAACAGTTTGATTGCGGTCGCTTTGACAAGTCATCATAAGTTTGGTTTCTTCTCAATGATTTAGATATTTTGACAAAATGCGCCGTACCCATGATGTGCCTGATAATTGCACTTTTTGAATATCTGCTTCCATTTAGATATAAATTTCCTGGAATATATTCAGAGGTCAAATTTCTATTTTATTTTTTCGTAAAAAGAATAACTTATACCTCAGAACAGACTATTTATTCTGCGTCTTCCCATCAAGATAGAAGTGATGAAATCTGCAACTGTTCTGACAAGGTGTAAAAAACTCTTTTACAATGAGTATTCAGAACAAGAACATTTGGATTTACAGGATCGCATCATGAGATGATGTCAGTTAAAGAACAACTGGAAAACCTCGGAGAAATGGACAACTGTTTCGTCCCAGTTTGTGACTCTTAATCAGTATGCACATACCGGGGTTCGAACCCATCAACTCTCTGTTACAAGGTCAGCTCATAGACCATTAAGGAACTGGGATCCAATTCATTGGTTCATGGGTTGTCTTGTTTACAGTGGGAATTCGTGACCAGTGGGGTGTGAAGACAAATACTCGCGCTATATTGTGAATTGGCAGAAGTTGGAATTCATGGGTTGGCCATTGGATCAGAGTACCAGAGGCTTAATCATCTTAGAGCTCGCCTTGTAAGCAGTAGGCCCTGGGTTCGAACCCTAGTGGGTGGGTACTAATGAAGAGTGTTGAACTAAGATGACTTGGTTGTTCACTGCTCGGAGGTTTTCCAATGGTTCTCTAACTGATATCACCTAATGATGAAATCCTGCAACCAATCGAATCTCTGCAAACGAATGATTGAATAGTTGAGGTTTTCAGATTCAGATCCTATGGCTGAATGTTCATCCGCATATATATATATATATATAGAGAGAGAGAGAGGATTACCGGGGACGCGGTAGATTACTGGAAACCTCTCAGGGTTAATTAGATATCCATTATCGATCAGGGTAGCTGGAAAATCACTGTTTATGCAATTGGTTGCCCCTTTACTCAGACATACAGTTACGCCTTCGAGTGAGTGTATAGATAAAGCCGTGTGAGAATGGCTTATGTAAATAGCTTCCCAGATACACACTGATGAGAGCATCATGGGCAATTTATCCTTGACTCTCTGTGTTTAGTTGCAGGGATGTCCTCCTAACCTACCAGTTCAATCGATATTTTACAGTGTCTTTAACGATCTCACCTTGGTAATTTAACTTCCTGTCGAACGTTTTCTTACCTATGATATCTATCATTGCCCTATCTCTAGGTGTCAATATGTTCACTCTACCTTTTCTTGTTCTGAATAAAATGCAAGGAAATTCAAATTACAATCAGTATTATTCTTTCATGTTTCAAGTGGAACACAGAGATTTAAGCTTTGAAGTTTCAGCTTCGCTCCTTAAGAAGTGAGGTTGCCATCCTCACACACAACCTTTCCACTTTCACAGGCGTACCACCAGTCAGCAAATAAGCTGATGTTAAGCAATGCATCGGCCGTAAATCGAACCCCGGACGACGTGCGTGGTTGGCGAGAATTCTCTCATTGAACTGTCTAAGCAGATATATATACATATATAATTACTTTGAAATCAAAATGGTCTTCAAAACAGAAAAATATCTAACAATCGACTGGAGTAGTCAGAAAACAAATTAAAGGTGGTACAGAATTCATTAAAATGCATTACGTGTTAGTATCAGGATAGTGATAGCATTAAAGGACGCTGATAATAATAATATTAATAATAATACTAGTAATAAGGTTGAGTCTAACTTCTCTCTTCTGTAGTTTGTTTTTACATAATGTCACACAAGATTGAATAATACTGCTTAGAATACTTCCAATTACTAAAATGAATAATCTCTGGAATTTTTTATTCTTAAGAACCATAAGAATATTCCGTTAGTAATTATGATAACAATAATAATGTTTTGAATGACGCGTAAATAAGTAAAACTCTACGTAAATATAAACAAAGGTCAATAAATTCAGGTAATACCTGCCAAATTCCTGACTAAGTAATCAAGTAAAATGAAGATGTCTAATAATGGTAAAATGAAATAATTTTTTGGCGTTGTCATTCATTTCATTTCATTTTGTCACAATTGTTACTACTTAAAACACTTTGCTGGCTAAAAACAAAGCATGCATTAGCTATAATTTACAATTCTTAATAATGCTCACAACTGAAGTAGGTTAAGAACCAGGTTTAAAACCGATACAATGCGTCAAAGCCGCATAGCTGCTTCCAAGTCCTTCTTGCACTATACCTAACAATGGTTCGATGGTCTCCGGTCCCGGATACTTTTCTCTGATCCTTCTCCTTGTTATCAGACTGAGTATTCCTGTTAGTACTTTTCACAGATATAACTCAAATGAAAACAAACGCTTAACAACTTTCATATAGCATATTAACAAATTCAAATTAATCTAAGTAACTCAAAATGTGAAACACTTTTACATGAAATGCCGAAAATAATTTTAATGTAAATTATAGGCAGCACTTAACAGATATTTGGTTCTAGTTTGAGACTCTTCAGAAATCCTCAATCACGACCTCATCAGGGATCAAACAAGCGACCTTAAGTTTAGGAGGCGAACCCATTGACCCTTTAAACTATTAGGTCAAAATTTAATAGCCTGTGAATTCTACCTTCTATAAATTGGTGATATGGAGCTACCGATAACCATTGACATTCAATTAGCATGCAGTTCTAACTGACACTTTGCAACCTATTGGCAATGGCTTTTCATCAGGACTTTAGGAATTCCTTCTAACCGACAATTATTAGCTGAAGACTGACATACAGGTTATAAGTCTTCATCCACGTCAGCATAAAGTTGTCGCTCATCTATGGCACTGGGGCGCCATATCACCAGTCAACAGAAGTTAGAATTCAAAAGTCACTGAGCTCTGACTCGACCACTAGATGGTCAATGAGATAGCAGAGTAACTTGAAGGTCTCATATTCGACCTCTACTGGGATCATGGGTGCTCACTTCTTAAGAGTCCCAGTCTAGGACTAAACAGCTGTCAATAACTTCCCGGTTCCCGATGACTCTACACTGAAATTAACAGACCTCAACTGACAAAGTATCTTGTAGTTGGCATAATGTGAACTCATAAAATAACGATGGATTAAGATAAACTCATAGATTTACCCACACTCAACTTATCAGCAAGTAACAAGTTATGTGTCAAATTCTGGGTTACTTCTTTTCATTTTCTATCAGTATTATGTAGGCTACTTATGTCCAAGACTTTGTCTTCAGTGATATCCATACCAATCTTCAATCAGCATCATTTTTCTCTCTGTGATACCATGCCGATGAATGTCAAAAGTCAAAGAAGTTATGTCATGTTAACTTACATTCTGATGCAAACATTTACCAGTGAAATACTGACTGACCTCTAGAGAGGATGAATACGATTGCAGGGCTGGTTTGTGCATTGTATAACAAACGCTACAACAGATATTCCATCTGAAGTATAACTGAAGTATTTCTTTAAACACGTAATAGAAAATCAGACATGATCGACTAATAGAGAAAGTCCAAATTCTTGTAACTGGCCGCATTTGCTCTATCACATAAAGGAGGTGGAAACAAAACGGAGGTGTATTTGTTTGTCGATAACTCAACCTTATGAGTTTTTCACCCAATAAGTATTTACTTACATAATACTAATCCTTTGGGTAAATTTGACTTAAAATAAACTGACGAGGATATCAATGCAAGAATCGGAAAAGCAAGACAAGCTTTCACTACTCTCAAGTCTGTGTGGAGGTCAACAGCACTCAGCATCAAAAATAAGATTCGGATTTTCAACTCCAATGTGAAATCAGTGCTACTCACGATACGGATCAGAGACTTGCACTGCGCGTCATAAAGAGCATCTCAAACAAACTACAGACCTTCATTTACAGTTGTCTTCGCTCATTACTCAAGATCAAATGGCTGGCCAGAAAAGATCAGCAACAGAGATCTCTGGCAATGAGCGAACCAACACAGCAGGAACCGATTGTGAAACAAATAGGCAGGAAGAAATGAAGGTGGATTGGAGGCCATACACTGAGGAAACAAACCATCAAGTGACATCACTAGACAAGCCATTGCTCGAGTGGAACCCGAAAGGGAAGTGGCGAGTTGGTCGTCAGTGCAAGGGTGACTTGGAGGAGGTCATGTGAAGAGGAGATGAAAACGTGTGGGCAGATATGGAGCCAGGTGAAGACTCTAGCAGAGAACCGAACGCAATGGAGACGCGCGGCTGAAGCCCTATGTTCCTCTAGGAATTAAAGGAAACAATAATAATAATATAATAAACAACCCTTACTACAATGAGTTACACAAAAGTGATTATTTCAAGAATTTTCAGTTGACATTAAGCGTGCCACAAAACATATTAAGTTGTAGATAATTATTCACTAAAATCTTATTCAACCCATAAATTATAGTGATTGGTTAATTTGTTATTTTTATGTCTATTCATCACTCTCGATGTGTCTGTCATTCTTTTGCCTTTATTTGATTGCTTCTTCTTCTTTAAAATATATGTAGTAGAAAAGCGTAGGGTTAGTATATGTGGGTTACTTATAATTTTGTAATCAGTCAAGTTGATTTTATCCAATACCAAGTGGAACTGAAGGCGGTATACACATCATGTAACCAAGATTGTAGCATGGTAAGTTAATCTGTGAATCCACTTTTAAACGTTGTGATAGGTTGCTCCATTTTCAAATACTTTATTTTGGTTAAATAATGTATGCAGGGGTTCTGTGCTTTAATTTGTTTTCTCCAGTTTACCAGTACTACTATTAGTACTAGTACTAATACTAAGGAGTCAATAATTTTTACACCTACGCTAAGTCTGTTATCAACCAAGCCTACAATTGTATATTTCTCTTAATTCTATCCAGTTCACACTGTGAAGGTTTGGAAGATACACGTCTCCTTGCATTATGCGGAGCTTCCATTATAACGATAAGGCATCTTGTGAATAAACGGCAGCACACTTTCGAATTTTCAGCCTTATTTCTGTTTTCTTTGTTTGTTTTTTTTGTTGTTTCTTTTGATACACCGTTTTTCTTATAATCATCATCACCATCAATAATTAATAATATTTATTTCTTGCAAATTCAATATTTCATGGAATAAATATATAATGAAATGGCAATGATCAAGTCATCGTATATATATATATATATGTGAGTGAGAATACATAAATATTATCAAGAGAGAAAAGTCCTTTTTCAACTCACTTGCACTTTTGTTTTCTCCGTCGATATATTTCAGATCAATCAGCTGTCAATACACAAATATTAAAAAAAAATAATAATAACAATAAGAATAATGAAGACAAATGCTTTTGATATACTATCCTGTTTATCAAACTTTATTATACCATGTTTTGCTGCTACAGAACTTATGGAGACATAATCCTTCACATTGATATCAATTCAAACGATTAAATTACTCTCCTGTTTTCTATTCAACCAACCGAATACACCTAGTGTTGTGTTGTGTTGTGTATACATAATTTTACAAATATTAACATTAAATCTGGAAGCTACCTGCTTTATATAATTCAATAAAAACTAATCTACTACTAACCATGTCTACTGATAAATTGCATAAATCTGATGAATGCGCTCAAATTGAACAACAAGTAGTTAAAGAAAAACTAATTGAAGATGATTACAAAGTCAAATTACATGATGATGATGATGAAGTCTACAAAACTCTAACAGATCCTGTCTGTGAAAAATCAAAATTATCCGATGTTTGGGAGACTAGTCATACACCGCCATTAGAATCAACATTGACAAAAAGTCCAATGAAATCTAGTAATACAAATTTAGACGACAAAATAGGTAGTCATGACGATCCTGGTATTGATGAAGACAATAAACATAAATTATCATCTAGTAGTGATCTAATGAAAGATAATTCGAATTATCGAATGACAGACGATTATGAAACCTATTTATCGTGTATTGAAAAGGATATTTGTACAGAATTTGATAATCCAATGTATATACCGATTAAATTACCGTTAAGCAGTAATTTATACGTTCCAGTATATTATGTACAGTCAAGTGAAGAAGCTTCACCTAAATCACATAAACATAATGTGGATTATAATGATAGTAATATTAATAATTCAACGGTAAGTCACAAGTTTATATTGTCTGATGATAATACTTATCTAAGAGGAAATGATTCACCTGCTGCTAGACTAGAAGCTGATCATCACATAAATACTAATAATCAGGGATATGATAACTATGTATTACCGCACTACACATCTGAAATTAGTCCAGATCACTGTGATTTAAAGTTGTGTCAGGTAGAGATGACATCTGATCAACTGCCAGTGAATCTAAAGCATTCAGGGAAAAAATTAAGATCAAAATCCGATAAACCGGCTAAAGAAAAGACTATTTTCAAGAAGACTAAGTCAAAGACCGAAAAATCAAAAGATGAACAGTCCACGCCTATCTCAAAGAACAAGGAACGACATAAAGATACTACTGGTTGTTCGCCAAGATTAAAAATAAAAAAGAAGGTCAGAAATAACAATGATAAGGAGAAAATCAAACGGGAGACATCGAAAAAAGACAGTTTCAGGGAAGTAAGTGAGAAGTCAGAAGACAATCAAGGTTTCATCGACATCCAAAACGACACTATGAGCAATAAACCTATGCGTATTAAAAGAGGTGGCAAAACAGCTGTCGATAAAAAGAAAAACAGCAAGAAATTATTCCACAAAACGACGCCAAATTCCAAACAAGACGACTACACAATAAGTGTAGAACATCAAGGAGACGACAGTGATCTCAGGGAAAAGTCGAAAAACAAAATCAAACAGCCGAAAAATTGGAAAATATGCGTCCCTAACAGAAGTCACAAAATAAATAAAAACATCACGCCAATAAAAGTAAAAAACCAAACAAATCAAGAAAATCAACCAACACAAGAAATATACGAAACAGATGTAAATGAAAATTTACCCACCACAAAAATTCAAAGCACAAAAGAATTCATTATAGAACAAGAAAACAAAACAAATAAAAACGCAGACACAAACATCAAACCAAAAATCAAACTCAGATTCCCTGAAAGACAGACGAAATTAAAAGCATCGAAAGCTGGTGTGAAGGTGGAGGGAGAGGGAGGTGCGAAGGTAGATTTGGACGCCGGACTGGACGCCCACATTGATGGCAAAGCAAGCAAAGGAGGTAAGAAATTCCACTGGTCTCCGAAGTTCGTGTTCCCGAAGGGTGGTCTGAAGATAGGTGGTGGTGCCAAAAAGCCGGACGCCTCAATATCTGTCTCGGCTCCGACTGGTGGTGTTGATGTCTCAGTTCCGAAACCCGATCTCGACGTCTCCTTGGAGGTTCCTGATGTGGAGGTATCTGCGTCTGTGCCGGAAATCGGCGTGTCAGGTGGTGCAGGTAGAGGTGGAGAGTTGGGAGTGACTGGACAGGTCTCGGCTCCCGATGTGGACGTCAGTGTTCCATCGAAGAAGTTCACCTTCGGTTGGGGCTCCAAAGGCAAGAAGGCGAAGAAGGCGAAGTTGCCGAAGGTGTCGGGAGACATAGGTGCTGGTGTCGATGTCAGTGGGAAGGTTGATGTTCCGAGTGTTGAGGTTGATGTGGACGCAGGTGCTCATGGCAAAGGTAAGAAGTTCAACTGGTCACCTAAAATCACTTTGCCAAAGTTCAAGATGCACATGCCAGAGGTGTCTGGAAAACTGCATGCAGATGCACCCGATGTGAGTGTGAGTGGAACTGGTCCATCTGTGGAATTGCCATCATTGAGAGCCAGTGGTAATTTGCCGAGTGTCGACGTGTCCCTTCCAGACGCATCGTTAACAGGTGATCTCTCTGGTAAGCTGGATCTAGATGGGACTGGCGTGAAGATCAACGACGCTGATTTGAAACTGCCTGACTTGGAGATATCAGGAGGTGTGAGTGCACCGTCTGTGGAGGGTGACTTGTCCATTCCTCAGGTGTCTGCCGGTCTGGATACAGATGTGAAACTACCCAGTGCTGAATTGGACGTGAAATTGCCTAGTGTACAGCTGACCGGTCCAGATCTCGACGTGCATGGTGTAGCGCCAGATGCAGGTGTGAGTGCGAGTGTCGACGTTCCCAAACCGCATATTTCAATCAAGGCACCGAAATTCGGTTTCGGTTTTGGTAATAAGAAGGCGAAATTGAAGACACCGAAAGCTGGTGTGAAGGTGGAGGGAGAGGGAGGTGCGAAGGTAGATTTGGACGCCGGACTGGACGCCCACATTGATGGCAAAGCAAGCAAAGGAGGTAAGAAATTCCACTGGTCTCCGAAGTTCGTGTTCCCGAAGGGTGGTCTGAAGATAGGTGGTGGTGCCAAAAAGCCGGACGCCTCAATATCTGTCTCGGCTCCGACTGGTGGTGTTGATGTCTCAGTTCCGAAACCCGATCTCGACGTCTCCTTGGAGGTTCCTGATGTGGAGGTATCTGCGTCTGTGCCGGAAATCGGCGTGTCAGGTGGTGCAGGTAGAGGTGGAGAGTTGGGAGTGACTGGACAGGTCTCGGCTCCCGATGTGGACGTCAGTGTTCCATCGAAGAAGTTCACCTTCGGTTGGGGCTCCAAAGGCAAGAAGGCGAAGAAGGCGAAGTTGCCGAAGGTGTCGGGAGACATAGGTGCTGGTGTCGATGTCAGTGGGAAGGTTGATGTTCCGAGTGTTGAGGTTGATGTGGACGCAGGTGCTCATGGCAAAGGTAAGAAGTTCAACTGGTCACCTAAAATCACTTTGCCAAAGTTCAAGATGCACATGCCAGAGGTGTCTGGAAAACTGCATGCAGATGCACCCGATGTGAGTGTGAGTGGAACTGGTCCATCTGTGGAATTGCCATCATTGAGAGCCAGTGGTAATTTGCCGAGTGTCGACGTGTCCCTTCCAGACGCATCGTTAACAGGTGATCTCTCTGGTAAGCTGGATCTAGATGGGACTGGCGTGAAGATCAACGACGCTGATTTGAAACTGCCTGACTTGGAGATATCAGGAGGTGTGAGTGCACCGTCTGTGGAGGGTGACTTGTCCATTCCTCAGGTGTCTGCCGGTCTGGATACAGATGTGAAACTACCCAGTGCTGAATTGGACGTGAAATTGCCTAGTGTACAGCTGACCGGTCCAGATCTCGACGTGCATGGTGTAGCGCCAGATGCAGGTGTGAGTGCGAGTGTCGACGTTCCCAAACCGCATATTTCAATCAAGGCACCGAAATTCGGTTTCGGTTTTGGTAATAAGAAGGCGAAATTGAAGACACCGAAAGCTGGTGTGAAGGTGGAGGGAGAGGGAGGTGCGAAGGTAGATTTGGACGCCGGACTGGACGCCCACATTGATGGCAAAGCAAGCAAAGGAGGTAAGAAATTCCACTGGTCTCCGAAGTTCGGGTTCCCGAAGGGTGGTCTGAAGATAGGTGGTGGTGCCAAAAAGCCGGACGCCTCAATATCTGTCTCGGCTCCGACTGGTGGTGTTGATGTCTCAGTTCCGAAACCCGATCTCGACGTCTCCTTGGAGGTTCCTGATGTGGAGGTATCTGCGTCTGTGCCGGAAATCGGCGTGTCAGGTGGTGCAGGTAGAGGTGGAGAGTTGGGAGTGACTGGACAGGTCTCGGCTCCCGATGTGGACGTCAGTGTTCCATCGAAGAAGTTCACCTTCGGTTGGGGCTCCAAAGGCAAGAAGGCGAAGAAGGCGAAGTTGCCGAAGGTGTCGGGAGACATAGGTGCTGGTGTCGATGTCAGTGGGAAGGTTGATGTTCCGAGTGTTGAGGTTGATGTGGACGCAGGTGCTCATGGCAAAGGTAAGAAGTTCAACTGGTCACCTAAAATCACTTTGCCAAAGTTCAAGATGCACATGCCAGAGGTGTCTGGAAAACTGCATGCAGATGCACCCGATGTGAGTGTGAGTGGAACTGGTCCATCTGTGGAATTGCCATCATTGAGAGCCAGTGGTAATTTGCCGAGTGTCGACGTGTCCCTTCCAGACGCATCGTTAACAGGTGATCTCTCTGGTAAGCTGGATCTAGATGGGACTGGCGTGAAGATCAACGACGCTGATTTGAAACTGCCTGACTTGGAGATATCAGGAGGTGTGAGTGCACCGTCTGTGGAGGGTGACTTGTCCATTCCTCAGGTGTCTGCCGGTCTGGATACAGATGTGAAACTACCCAGTGCTGAATTGGACGTGAAATTGCCTAGTGTACAGCTGACCGGTCCAGATCTCGACGTGCATGGTGTAGCGCCAGATGCAGGTGTGAGTGCGAGTGTCGACGTTCCCAAACCGCATATTTCAATCAAGGCACCGAAATTCGGTTTCGGTTTTGGTAATAAGAAGGCGAAATTGAAGACACCGAAAGCTGGTGTGAAGGTGGAGGGAGAGGGAGGTGCGAAGGTAGATTTGGACGCCGGACTGGACGCCCACATTGATGGCAAAGCAAGCAAAGGAGGTAAGAAATTCCACTGGTCTCCGAAGTTCGGGTTCCCGAAGGGTGGTCTGAAGATAGGTGGTGGTGCCAAAAAGCCGGACGCCTCAATATCTGTCTCGGCTCCGACTGGTGGTGTTGATGTCTCAGTTCCGAAACCCGATCTCGACGTCTCCTTGGAGGTTCCTGATGTGGAGGTATCTGCGTCTGTGCCGGAAATCGGCGTGTCAGGTGGTGCAGGTAGAGGTGGAGAGTTGGGAGTGACTGGACAGGTCTCGGCTCCCGATGTGGACGTCAGTGTTCCATCGAAGAAGTTCACCTTCGGTTGGGGCTCCAAAGGCAAGAAGGCGAAGAAGGCGAAGTTGCCGAAGGTGTCGGGAGACATAGGTGCTGGTGTCGATGTCAGTGGGAAGGTTGATGTTCCGAGTGTTGAGGTTGATGTGGACGCAGGTGCTCATGGCAAAGGTAAGAAGTTCAACTGGTCACCTAAAATCACTTTGCCAAAGTTCAAGATGCACATGCCAGAGGTGTCTGGAAAACTGCATGCAGATGCACCCGATGTGAGTGTGAGTGGAACTGGTCCATCTGTGGAATTGCCATCATTGAGAGCCAGTGGTAATTTGCCGAGTGTCGACGTGTCCCTTCCAGACGCATCGTTAACAGGTGATCTCTCTGGTAAGCTGGATCTAGATGGGACTGGCGTGAAGATCAACGACGCTGATTTGAAACTGCCTGACTTGGAGATATCAGGAGGTGTGAGTGCACCGTCTGTGGAGGGTGACTTGTCCATTCCTCAGGTGTCTGCCGGTCTGGATACAGATGTGAAACTACCCAGTGCTGAATTGGACGTGAAATTGCCTAGTGTACAGCTGACCGGTCCAGATCTCGACGTGCATGGTGTAGCGCCAGATGCAGGTGTGAGTGCGAGTGTCGACGTTCCCAAACCGCATATTTCAATCAAGGCACCGAAATTCGGTTTCGGTTTTGGTAATAAGAAGGCGAAATTGAAGACACCGAAAGCTGGTGTGAAGGTGGAGGGAGAGGGAGGTGCGAAGGTAGATTTGGACGCCGGACTGGACGCCCACATTGATGGCAAAGCAAGCAAAGGAGGTAAGAAATTCCACTGGTCTCCGAAGTTCGGGTTCCCGAAGGGTGGTCTGAAGATAGGTGGTGGTGCCAAAAAGCCGGACGCCTCAATATCTGTCTCGGCTCCGACTGGTGGTGTTGATGTCTCAGTTCCGAAACCCGATCTCGACGTCTCCTTGGAGGTTCCTGATGTGGAGGTATCTGCGTCTGTGCCGGAAATCGGCGTGTCAGGTGGTGCAGGTAGAGGTGGAGAGTTGGGAGTGACTGGACAGGTCTCGGCTCCCGATGTGGACGTCAGTGTTCCATCGAAGAAGTTCACCTTCGGTTGGGGCTCCAAAGGCAAGAAGGCGAAGAAGGCGAAGTTGCCGAAGGTGTCGGGAGACATAGGTGCTGGTGTCGATGTCAGTGGGAAGGTTGATGTTCCGAGTGTTGAGGTTGATGTGGACGCAGGTGCTCATGGCAAAGGTAAGAAGTTCAACTGGTCACCTAAAATCACTTTGCCAAAGTTCAAGATGCACATGCCAGAGGTGTCTGGAAAACTGCATGCAGATGCACCCGATGTGAGTGTGAGTGGAACTGGTCCATCTGTGGAATTGCCATCATTGAGAGCCAGTGGTAATTTGCCGAGTGTCGACGTGTCCCTTCCAGACGCATCGTTAACAGGTGATCTCTCTGGTAAG